AGTATCTGAGACATGATTATAAGTATCCTGAACATCAAAACATGTCTTCAAATCAGGAATGAATCTCACATCATTCGTTTTTAAACTTCATAAGAACTTTTTTAATGAAACCTGATAAAAAGGAGCCATAGAACTATTACACTGGTTCATTTAACATTTTGTATACTTTGATCATTCACTGAATCCCTTTAGAACAGGAACTAAAATGGATACTATTAAGCTAACAAGGTAAAATCATATTAAAGAGATAAATATTTGTATCAAGAAGATAACATTTTACCTGGTGTAAAGAAATACACTCGTGTTCCATCTCCTCGAACATAAAAACTATCCTGAAGACAACTGCCTGGTCTGAATCTTAACTCAGCCATGTCATGTCGTCCATAATCCCGAAAGAGAACCAATCCACCTGGTTTCAGATACCTGACTATAGTGTTAATCACTTGCTGCATTCTGAAATAATGGTAAATATGATGAAGTGGAGAAAATCAGTTTATAAAACTTGTGTACTTGATTCTGGAACACCAGACTGAAGCTTCAGTTGATTAATTGAACAGAATAAGTATATGTGATTTGTTAACAGGAAAAACTCCCATTAATAACCACTAATGATATTCAAAGAATCTACTTTTCCTTAAAGTACTTTTAGAATCACAATTTTTCTTTCTTTAAGTTTCTGATGTTAATTTTTTTCTTATTAGGATACAATGCAAAGAAGTTAAACAAAACTTTATCAAAACACATCCAGCGTAATTTTATTACTAACTAGCTATTTGGACACAACAGAAAAGAAAGATTCACCTCTCAAATATAACAACTTCTAATAATTTACTTTGTGGCAAGAGACAAACCTGTCTATTTACTTGTGTACATTTTTACAGACTCAACAGTTGTTGTACGTTCAACACTTCACTTAACAGATACTTACTTTTCAGGGTGAATAGCTGACAACACGAAGATTAAGAGAACAACATCTAAAGAACATTCTGGAAAGGGCACAAGCCAGGTGTGTGCAGTCACGTCACAGGAAAAGGCATAGCATTTTGCTGGGTCGTACTTTTCGTTACTCTGCAAGAAAATATATAAAATTACAAGACATAATTCTTTGGGGGGTTGTCTCTTTCATTATGTTACAACTGAAAATGTAAAATAAAAATGGATAACACTGTGCTGGTTGTATCTTTCATTATGTTACAACTGAAAATGTAAAATAAAAATGGATAACACCCATTTTCAGTTGTAACATAATGAAAGATACAACCAGCACAGTGTTATCCATTTTTATTTTATGTGCTGGTTGTATCTTTCATTATGTTACAACTGAAAATGTAAAATAAAAATGGATAACACTGTGCTGGTTGTATCTTTCATTATGTTACAACTGAAAATATAAAATACTGCAGTTGTTTTTATGACTGCATAATCCCTTGACGGCCTGTGACCGTACTCTTTCTTTAACAGGATATGCAGTACTATCTCATAAGTTGAAAAGGAAAATTCTTTGGTTGATCAAAATATTTTAAGGTATTCTTGTATTACTATACTTACTTTTAAATTGTTCTTGAACAAGTATATATCCTTTCTTTTTTTTTTACATTTCTGTAATCAACTTAATGTGTTCATAGTCTTACTATTTGAAATAAACAAACATGACAAACAAACCTTTAAATTGGTATTTACATTCTGTTAGTTTAATAAATCAAATGTTGGACTTAGTACACATGCAGTAAGAAAAAATACTGGTCAAAGCCACAGTAGAAACTAAAACAGGCAAATAGTAATTTGGACATAAAAAAATAATGTAAAACAAAATTACACAACTAATAAAGTTCAATATAATTTATACTTGAAACCATCATTTAACAACAAGCAACACAACAGAACTGTCAAAGATGGAATGGAAACCCATGGAACAACAACAAACAACACAACAGAACTGTCAAAGATGGAATGGAAACCCATGGAACAACAACAGGCAACACAACAGAACTGTCAAAGATGGAATGGAAACCCATGGAACAACAATAAACAACAGGCTACACAACAGAACTGTCAAAGAGGGAATGGAAACCCATGGAACAACAACAAACAACACAACAGTCAAAGAGGGAATAGAAACCCATGGAACAACAATAAACAACACAACAGAACAGTCAAAGAGGGAATAGAAACCCATGGAACAACAACAAACAACACAACAGTCAAAGATGGAATGAAAACCCATGGAACAACAACAAACAACACAACAGAACTGTCAGAGATGAAATAGAAACCCACGGAACAACAATAAACAACACAACAGAACTGTCAGAGATGAAATAGAAACCCATGGAACAAACAACACAACTGTCAAAGATGGAATAGAAACTAATGACCATAATAAAGAGTAGATCTTGTTCAAACACATGCAAGTAATCAAAAGACAGCTGAAGATATGTTAAACAGATAAACTGAACCAACAAAAAGACTGAAAATGGTAAAAGGACAAAAGCTTAGTGCAACAGACCTTAAAATTATGTTGCCAAACATATACATATGAAACACTTCACAAGTCCAATTATTCTTTCAGAAACCAAATGCAGCATATATATAGTACTGTACTTACCTTAACAAGGGAAACGGCTACATCACTGAAGTCACAGCAGTACACAAAGAGGTCTTGAGAACTGAAACACATGAGAAGTATTCTTATCGATTTTACTTCTTACACAGTTTGTAATATTAGTATTTATGTTTTTAATTTATCAATCCTTTGTTACTTTTTACATTTCTTTAGTATTTCAGGTTTTCATTGATTGTATTAGTTAAGAAAATTAAAAGTTAACCTATATCTATACTAGAAAAGCATTTCTAATCATACAAACAGTTTCATGAAAAGTAAAAAGCAGGACAAGGGACTCCGTAAACCTCATTAACGATACAACCTACTTTATTACAACTTCTCTGCTATAACTATGATAAATAATTCAATAAGTTACCATAAAATAGTATGTACTACTGTTTAGAAATACATTCTAAACACTCAACTTACATACAGTCCAAACATATCTCAGAAGGAATGCTAGTAAACTCTGATATGACACAATAAATACAGTGTGAAGCATCTGAAAGAATGTTAAGTTTAACAACTTGCTAGTAAACTCTGATATGACACAATAAATACAGTGTGAAGCATCTGAAAGAACGTTAAGTTTAACAACTTGCTAGTAAACTCTGATATGACACAATAAATACAGTGTGAAGCATCTGAAAGAACGTTA